GCTAAAGGGTGTAAGACTGGTTGGTCGTAAAACATGAGACTAAATTTGCAAGACCAACATCAAAATAAATATGCATGCTCAAATGTATCAAGGGTAGTTGGACTAGTGAAGTAGAACATTATAAGTTTCGAGTTTATGTTGTACCGTTATAAGATATATTAGTTGGCTTATTCTTCGTCTAAGAAATGATATTTGTTAAAAGTGCTCAAATGTATCAAGGGTAGTTGGACTAGTGAAGTAGAACATAATAAGTTTCGAGTTTATGTTGTACCGTTATAAGATATATTAGTTGGCTTATTCTTCGTCTAAGAAATGATATTTGTTAAAAGTGACAAGAGGAAGAAGATTTGATTAGATATTTTATACGCGAAGAATGTTAATCATACTTGGTTTAAAGTGGGGGTATAATGATAAATGGGCTTGGTTTGATAACGGTAAGAGGCTTTTCTGTGATACGATATCAGCTAAACACCTATAAGATATCAGCTCTCAGTAGAGTTGAGACATGGCTATTATATTAATCATATCGGTTAATCAAGTAGAATAATAAGGCAACAATGTAATTATTTATGCATTATCTTTCTAATTATACTGTCAATATTATTCCTTTAAAATAAACATGATAAATAATGGTTTCTGGAATCAAAATGGATTTACCGTTAAATGCATGTTATAATTATTAAAATATAGATTCTGTAGTGATATTATATTTCGACAAATTCCATCCATTATGGGACATTAAGGATGCACCGACGATAGAAATAAGGCGGTTATAAGAAAAATACGTTTTACAAACAATGTTATATAAATGCAATTCGTACAGTTTATACCACAATACTGTATTCAGTCCTAATGTATATTATTAATACTAGACAGTATGCAGTTCTAGCGCATATTATTAATACTAGACATATTAGCAGTAATGATGTATATTATTAATACTGGACTGTATAAAGTCCTAGCGTATGTTAATAATACTAGACTGTATATAATCCTAGCGCATATTATTAATACTAGACAGTATAAGGCCCTAGTGTACATGTATATTATTAATACTAGACTGTATACGGCCATAACGCATATTATTAATATTAGACTGTTTACAGTCCTAATGTATATATATTATTAATACTAGACGGAATACGGTTCTAACGTATATTATTAATAGACTGTAAACAGCCCTATTATAACCTTTACACTAGACTGTATACAGCCATAACGTATGTTATTAATACTAGGCTGTATACAGCCCTAACGTATATTGTTAATACTGGGTTTTATTTTTGTGTCGTAAATTCTCGCTAAGGACTGTAAAATCATTTAAATAACGGTGGTTTTTGACTGTCTAATTTATTCTATTAGTTAATGTGTGTAACTGATAGTATTTTGGCCAGCCCCTGTCCTGTTGTTAATGGCAGGTCGGTGCTAGGGAAAATAAACAAGTTGTCTCTTTCACAAGTCGCAAACTCGTTATAAGAAATAAGCTTGTAAAGTTGGCAAAAGAAATGACAAAAGAAGAGTATTATCGGTCACAGTTATATATAATGACTATACCGACCACTTCATTGGAGCCCCTTTCAACAAAATATATTTGGGTTGAAGTTACCAACTTGCGATGCAAAATAACATTGAATATATATAAATTATACATAAATGTATCATCTTACTTGATATATTTAACACGTACATGTTGACATTAAATAAAACTATTGATTCGGTACTTTTTGTTCAGTGCAGATGCCAGGTTGCAACAGTAGATCGTGGAAAGGTGAAGCTGACAGCTTATCATTAACTCTGGAAGGCTCCGCGCAGGATTTGAGGTCTACTGTTCCGATCTAGTCTATGGAGCAAAAACTAAAACTGGCGGGAAAAAACCAAATGATAATGATGAAATAGATTTTCCCTAAAAAAATTTTAACCTCACAACAGAAAACATTGTCTAGATAGTCTTCCTACGTCACTGTAACGTCTTCATAACAAAATACCACATCACGTTGAAATCCCCGGCAATGCATTTTATTAGCAAATATTGCTGAGGTTCAAGTTCAGTGCCAATTCACAGTTCCCATTCCCCAAGTCGCGATAGGCCTATACAAAATTCTTGTATTCAATGGGGGGCAATATAAAGGGTCAATATATAACTATGATTCATTCGTTCTTTTAAAAAGATAACAAAAACACTAGTACTATTAATTCATTGGTTTTAAAGATTGAAATAAGATTTTCCTACGATCTTTTGGTAACAGATGTAAAATAATGAATGAATGGTTGGTTTTATGGTTTATATTTAGAAGATATATCTGTAGATGTTTTAGTATTCCTATATCCTATACATATCCCATGGGAACGGTTTTCATGTATACACGATAAAAGCAATATGACTTATTTTATTGTCCAACATCAATTCTGTCTAGACATCAAGAATTTTAAAAGAATATCAATCAGATTTATAACAGATTCAATTCATGTCTACCTTTGATGGAAATAGTTTATAATTTATTTAACAAATGTCACTTATGATTTGTTAAGTTAATAAGAAGAATTTATTTTAGACAACATTGTCACCGATACCCCAAGGAATAATAAAGAAACATAGGCTACTTTGAAGTTATTCTAGGATGAATTGTGAATAAGTATATTCAAATAAAGTTATATGAATTGTATTTGTACTATGGATAATTAATTACCTATTCATGTTTTCTTTGTACATGACTTCATTGCATACTTTCTGACTTCTCTACACCCGAAAAAGTAGGACGTTAAACCCCATCTAATTCATTCATTAGAGAACCTCAGTCGAATCTTGTCAGCCCAGTCCTCGTCGGATCGTCGTTACAAATAATCTCCCAAATAACTTGATTCGTTTTATTTGTCATGTTTTTTTTTTAACTAAAGATACATTTTGGGAGATTAGATAAAGAGCTGTCAGTTCTCAGTATAATAGTTAAAAATTAGATAATGTAAAGGGAATTTGCTTAAAATTTCAGTCAAATTGGTCCACTCTGAACCGCGATTTTAGCGATTGAATTTTCGGCCTAGCCTCAATTATCACTACTAAAGTCGGTACGATAAAAAAAATATAGTCTCGATTTCCATTTCATGATTAAATCATGACTGGAAATCGAACCGCAAATCGGAACCTAATCCAACAAACATCACAGGCTAGCGATGACATCGAGAGTTGAACTGGATCAGTTCATTAATGTCAAATTATTAATTTAGATAACATTTCAGGCCTAAATAAAGACCTGCAATAGGCAGATTTAGCTCTTGCATCATGTATGTTTAATACTGTGATATTTTAGACGATTTAAAACATTTATCAATTTGATTGGAGTATAATCTAATATTAACATCTAATGGATTTGTTGTTTTGAAGTTTGTCTTGTGTTTTGTTTTGTTTTATTTCTGTATACATAAATCAGGAACAATGTGTGGCAATTTTAATATCACCAAATTGCGTGCCAAATCTTGAACGTTTAAACTGTAAATAAAGAGCGCATACAACAATTTCTGTTATAAGGAAGGATAATATAGGCTTATGTTGATTTGAATTATAAGAGAGACATTTGACTTAAGTCTAGTCAACAGATAATATTATTATATGTTAATACACACGAGTCGTTGATGAAAGGATAATCTAACGTTCATTAATTTCATGTAACAGTGATCTAACAAGCTGTGTGAACCAACCTTTAAAAATCTCAACATCTTTGGCAATTAGTACATTATTGCCCCAATGAACAGTTTATATAGATCTATATACACTAACGTTATTTATCATATAAATAAAGGTGAAACTGTTTATTTCCCATATGTTACCAAAATTAACTGTTTACAAACTAACACTTCACCTTCCTTTAATTGTCAGCCAGTCGTTAAAATACGCATATATTTATTTATGGTGTTTTTATGTCTAGTGTATCCAACATGGCCTATTAGCATTGATTCGGTTTATTTTTATACTTACTTCATATCTGCATATTGATCATACTGTTATATAATTAGTAACAATTATATCAAATCTGAGACATATAATTGCACCTATATGTAAAAAGAATATATAAAAGTAATAATTGAATATTAATTTCGCCCTCTACATTACCCTCCTTTACCACGTTGATTTAATAATTTGCGAAGTTTTTTCACTCGGTACCGATTTTGATAGGAAAATGTAAAACCAACTTTTAAAGATGCTTTATGTAAGATTTAGATAAAGGGCTGATCGTTCTGGCTATAATAGTTCAAAAATAGATAATGAAAAATGAAAATATTGTAAATTTCATTCAAATTACTTTATTCTGAGCGAAGTTATGATAGTTTAAAAATATAACGTAGATTGTTAATTATCGCAGCAATGATATTTGATAATAGAAACTAAGTTTCGATTTTATCGTTAAATTTTTAAATCTCACGGGTGTTCTAATCCATTTAATTATCGGTCATCCGATGGCTAGATAGTTGATTATAGGCTTGTCATGTGAATGAATGTCTAAACAATAGTTTATGTAACATTTAAAGCCAAAATAAAGTCATGCAATATGCAGATTTAGCTCTTACATAATGCATCTTTGACCAAAACATCCCCGTAAGTTCTCATCAAAGAACCATTCTTTGAATATGGATACTTTAATGTATAAATAAATAATATGGCATATGACGTCACTCGACAAACAAATGTTGTAACGAAACACAATTTCCATAAACTGCCTCTAAGGACAACGTATAAATTTCAATTAACATATTAAATGTTTTTATTTCAAAAGAACCAATTCGATGTGAGTTTTGATCTGTCAAAGAGTTCATTTTGTGGTAATCAGATGAATGTATTTACATATCGTCCTCGGTAAAGATAATTGAAGCTATTGCTATGGGACTTGGTGTTAATTTTACATGTTATTCACCGCATTGCAATGATTAGAATGGTTCAATGTCATTTGACGGCTATCGACTTTTTTTGTCTTTTAGCTCATAGATTGTATTCTAGAGAGTTGTTGTATAGTACAGCCTATAGACCAGCTGTTACTGTAATATAATTTGAGTGTAGTCTGTGTCTGTTTTCAAGTGTTTTCTAGTTACTATATACTTCTTGTTCTACTTTTTCCTACACGAGGGGTGTTCTCGCGCACGTGAGTTCTAAAAATACACCCTCAGCTGTCGTTTGCGAAACTTCAAGTTTCCTGTTGAAGACGGCCGTAGAGAAATGTTCTTCGTCTGAAAGAACGTCATAAGATCGATACCGTATAGCGTTATCGAAGGACTAAAGTCTGTTGTTAGTATCAAGCTATGGACTTACAGCCTAACGCCAATCTATGTCGTTTCTACGTTTACTTTTTTGACTTTTTTCACAACAAATGAAGCATGTAGCGGCCAGACCAGTATCAAAGCATTCAGCGATAAAGATAGACGACGAAGAGAAGCGACTATACGAGGTTTTAACGGCGGTGAGAGGTTTAAACTATTATCAAGAGACACGTCTCTAATGAGATTACTTTTATTCTACGTGTATTAACAGATAATCCACCAGTGTTGTGTTTTGTTCGATAATCGGCTTAAAGCCTATTAAAACAGGTGCCCGACAGGATTTGTTGCCGCACGTTTTCGGATGTGTTTTAACATATTTAATTGTTGTGTAAAGTTTGTAGCCGGTCGCTCGGTTTATTAATAAGGGTATGATAATGGTTCGTGAAAGATAAGGCACTGATAGGTGGAAAGGATCGCTGTATGAAGAATTTCGCAAATTCATCAGTTTATGTATATTTTTGGACGTCATCGAAAACATGGCTCCCTGGTATTTTATCGTTGTTGTGATGCTGTCAGGATGGGTTTCCATTGTTTCTCTAGAGGAATTTGCTGACTTTAAGGCCACTGCTGCTCCCACGGAACCCGCTGCCAAGGCATTGCATTTTGATATCATGAAGAAACGTAATTACAACAAACTAATAAAGCCATCAAGTGGACCTCAGAGTAAGCTGACAGTAAAATTAGGCCTGCGACTGTCTCAGTTGATTGACGTGGTAAGTAATCAACCCCACTTTCTTATATGGATTCATTGACTAACTATATATCATATAACTTATGACATATTGATATTAATTAATCAACATATTTACGATAATTGTTTAATTGTTTTGATTATCGACCTACAGGGTATCGATATCTTTTATTGTTGATTAATATTAGAGCAAACATCTTATTTTGTCAGTGATCTAACTGATTTGGAAACAAATGAAAAGGAACTAAACGAATCATACTGTTATATGTGCACGTAAACTCAATACATTAATGAATTCTAAAATAGATAATTCAAATTTCACATGATTAACACATGCCTGTATGAACACCTGAGCGTCAGAGTGTTATTAATTATAAAAATACACTGATGGTCATTGTTTTGACACTAAATAATCTATCAACAGTTTATTTCGTGGACCATGTTCTGGAATCGAAAAGATTTCAAGTATTTAATATTTATATCAAAGCTCATTTGTATTACGGCCTACCCAAATTTGGATCGCAATCCGTGTTGTTTATTTTTTTAAAAATATATCTCACCCGTATATTTTGGCTTCCATGATTATATATTTACTTTATTCATTGCTCATCCGTTTTCATTACCCATATATCCAATTGGCTGGAACCCCTTCGTTAAGCCGGATATTGAATCATTCACGTGCCATTGAACACCAGTCACTGGAAATAATATGATTTTTACCAAACAAACATTAAATCCCTATTCAATATTTTCATTGAAGCGGATTTGATATGATTTCATAAGTCTATAAATAGACCGAGATTTATTTCTTATATGTAATCCATGTATTAATTATGTGTGTAAACAGTTAGAACTGTAAAGAGCATGCGTGTTAATTACAATGTTCCCTTGGTGTAATGAATATTCGTGTTAATTAATTGTTCAAATAGAGACCTGTTGATTACCATAACACATTTACACGATATTGACATGTGTTATGTAATGATGATAACCAACGACAAAACATTAACACTTAATAACTATAAATGTCTAAAAATTGTAAATTATATTTGTATTTTAATAGGGTTAGGATATATTTACCTAATTTCGCTTGTTCGTTATATAAACTTTTATTTTGATCAAGTGATATCAAATATTATATGTTATATTTTATTACATTAATTGATATACCGATCCTAAATTTAAAAATCGCATGTATATAATTCCTATAATTTAATAAAAGAGATTCAATGCACATATGTTGCCATTACAACAATAGACATATTTCTATTGATATTATTTCAAAAGAAGCTCTGAACTACATTTCTTTCTTATTGATCAAATGAAAACCCAAAAAGGGCCTCTTCTCAACGCCACGAATATGTCTATTATGTATTTATTTATTTATTTCAAATTTCAAAATCGTATTCAAAATTCATTATAGCCTATTTTTGGTTATTAATATACGTAATCTACACAAGTCTATAAGATTGTAATATTATGCTAATGTGGTATAGAAACAGAATACATGTATATGTTCATTTTGAACCTTAAGTAAATGGGTAGAATCTATAGTTAAATATCTCAATATGAGTTGGAATTGGTTGAATACCAGGAGATTAAGTAGAGCAATAACATTCCTGTTATTCCTGCTAATATTACCCATTTTGCAATGGTCCTGGGGCGGCCATATTATTACTTGTATTGATTTCAAATAGATCACTGACCTGACCATATGACATTGGTACATGTGGCTTAGCATCTTCACCGACCTTCAAATATAATATTGTATATACAGCGAAACGTTTAACGTCACAAAACTTTTCAGTTTCTATTTGTTAACCTGTTTGTTGTTTAAGATTCCCACAAATTTCAAATATAGATAAAGAAAAGCAAGAGGATTGTCTTAATTTAATTTGATCTATTTCATTTAGTGATAAATTAATTATTTTGGTAAAAAAATAGTTTCCATGGTTACGCCACCATGTGCTTAAACAGACCTAATTTGTTGTTGAAATATGAGTGTCGTGTAATATAAGACTTTCACTGGTTATCATTGATTATGTTTGATTTTTTATTTTGAAATATTAATGTGTAAATATTGTACGATTTTGGGGGATTTATTTTACACAAGCTTTGTTTATTCTGTGCCTGAGATCTTCATTCTAACATATTACAGCAACAGGGTCATATCAGACATAATAACAAATATTAGGTTTCAAATATAGAAATATAACAACATAACACGCACTTAACGTTGGCTGCACCAACACTTAAAATATCTTTCATTTGATGCATTAAGTGCCCGAATTCTTATCGTTCAATATTTATTAAAATAATGAAATACAGAGATATAGAAATTGCGAAATGTTTGATAGTAATATCACTCGTTGTACTCAAGATCACCATGACGTTATATAATACCCAATAACGAAAGTAAATAGAAAATTAAATGTGAACTTCCAACATAAATTTTAATGAGAAGTGGTATCAGGTGTTACGATTTATATGTAAGCGAGAATAGTCGATACTTAGTCACAATCTCTTTTCCAAATTCATGCACGTTTTCCATACTTGAAAAGCTTATTTTTACGTCGTGGGTAAATTCCAACCTTCAGAATACTTCTAATATGCAGTTATCGATGTTTTTCTATAAGAATAGATACCCAATTGCCAAGTGCGCAGATGTTAGAAAAATATATATTAAATGATGATATTATTGTAAATATATTTATTACAAATTTATTATATTCATCATAAGAAATGAAATAGGGTTTACAGCCCTACTATTCTGCACCAACCGGATTAATAAAGACGGAATTTTCACCATTAACGCATTCCGCCACATATCACCATTAATTTCCGCATTGACTTTAACTGTTAATTCTCGTCTCTTTGACCGGCTCTAACTTTTCCTCAAATTTTCGTGGGATTGAACGCTTTCTGCCATGGATGGGAAACATGGAAAACGTGAGATACACAAACTGGAAGTAGCATACGGATAAATACATGCAACTCTGTTATCCTTCCGCTTCAAAATCACCAATATTCACCAACACCTGGCAGAAAATGTATATTCAAACCCTTTTCTTCGATTTAACACCAAAAAGTCCACAAAAATCGCCATGGGAAAGAGAAAGGGGGAGAAAGACTAAAAATAACCTTGGCACTTAATTCGTAATTATTGGTGAGCAGTGTCCATTCTTTAGCCTGTCATATTTATACAATTGCATTTCTCTCTCATCCTTCCAAAGGCTGTGTAGTGATTACTATTCCGTTCAACATCAAATTGTAAATATACAAATCATATCATTCTCTCTATACGTTTCTGTACCACCAGGGTCACGGATGTTTCGATCAGTAGGTTTGGAGATTTGTTTCATTCGGTTATATACAATACCATGGTAGTATTTTTTTCTGGATTGTTTGTCTGTAGGCGATAATAGGCCCTAATGATTTATGGACATAAAGAGTGCAATGACACCGTACAAAGATCTACTTCCGCTTTTCCGATCTGTATGTGTTTCCTTACAATGCCTCCCTATGGTATTGTATCAAAGACACGGTCTGCTAATGTTGACACAGAAAGTGAAACCTCTTCTTACATAGATTTTAGTTAACATTTCATTCAGATTCTATAGATAATCGACATATTGAAGTCAATGGTTAATAAACAGTTGGCACAATCTGCCTTTAACAGTCTTCAATCAGTAGTAAAATGTAACAGTCAGAACAGCCATTGTGTTTGATCTCGTCAATAACATAATAATCATTTGTCATGATTGGTTGTCCAATTAAAATTATTTACCCCTATAATCCGTCATATGTATATTGCCTTTGATCATGTTGTTTTTTAATCCTTTGATCTTGTTGTTGTCATGCATGGTTTCTGAATTGTTGTTATTGCTTGTCCACATATAATTGCTCTACACACTTGTTACTGTACTTGCTTGAAAACGTTGAGAGAATACTCTTCGAAACGTCGCCCAAATAAATCAGTAATTGTTCTTCCATAAGTATGTGTTATAGTTTATAATAATATTCCGGATATTACGTATGGTATTTAGTGTACTTTTGCTCGGCCATGCGCCCGTGAATGTGTATAGTTAAGGGTATATCAAAAGTCAACAATATGCCCTATTTTAAATGTAAAGCCTGTTGTTATTACGTAATTAATCACATTTGTGTATAAAAAGACTTGCACGAAAACAGTAACACGGCTATTATTACTATGTTTGTGTGCGATAAATAAAGATGGTGAAGCGAAATCAATATAAACAAATGTAAACTTAAAATGGCCGTAACTTCACTTAGAATTGGTCGATTTGAACACCTGTTGGACCAAATTGTTGTTTTTTAATAAAAGTACCTTTGATTTCATTGTGTGTGGTCTTAACCACGATATTCAATCTATATTGTGGCAGGTTGCATCTTCAATAGAAGGCTTAGTAGCGCGTTAACTCAGTACACTTTACCAAGGCCTTCACGTAATACACTATAATTTTCGTCACTAATTTCAATTGTCTAGGACCCAGGTCTAGACCTCTCAGATTCATCGGTAGAATATCAAGTCTCTCGGTTTCCAACTGAAATATCTATCTGTGATAACCGAGTTGCAAAGTTCACGGTTCGCTCAATGTTAAGGGTTTTTCGCTATGATTATGTTATGAACCACTTCGCATCTTAGTCCAAACCTTTCTAATTTACTTTTCTGGGGGGTTTTTTTCCATTATGCTAGTAGGTTTGCTTTTCTTCGGTTATCCGTGAGGTTTTCAACGAACAGAAAACTTCAATGGCTGTAAATTGTGTGAAACAGCTTTATTTAACGTCCACTTCCATCGAAGTGATATCGCAGAAAAAATGGCTGTAAATGTATATATTCCTTTATAAAAGAAATGTGTTTGTATCACGACCTCTGATTGGACAACGTTATTGTTCACGTATCTGCGGTAAAGGGGGATAACGTACCTAAAAGTTCGAAAAGTTTATACTAATCTAGCAACGGCTTGTACAACTCGCGGTCGTTGCTTCGGGAACATGGGC